GATTTTAAAATGTCTACTTAGCTGGATTTCTGTTCAGCCTTCCTTTAGTCTGTAGGAAACCTGGAATAATCCTGGTAAAACAGCAGATAACAGAACAGACAGCTGCCAAACTGTAACACTGAGCCCCTGTATGATGCTGATGGGAAGAGCCGTTCCTTGTTTCTCTTTTCCAAACCTACCGACATCTTCATCCATTTTTCAATCTATTTTCCTCTCTCCGTGTAACAAAATCGTCCGCCCATATCCTGATGTGTCTCCCGTCCAGCACTACCACTACCTACCGACGTGTTCATCTGAGTATTTCTGCAGATGACGGGACTCCAAATTGTTGTGGACATCTGATGTGAAGCGGGTGTTGAGGAACCGTGAGGGTGCAGTGCCCTGCAGTGAACTTCTCACTTAAGCAAGTGATCCAGACACAATAGGCCTGACCTCAGCGTTCAGTCACAGCTCAGACAGGAGCAAACACAATATTAACATTCAGAACAAACTGTCCAACACAAAACAAAGAGACTTGTTAACATTGCAAACTTGCCTCTGAGCTTTTATCTTTATTAGGAAGCAACACTGGAAAAAACAAGAATTGCTATTATTTTTCAGATTTTAATTAATTCTTTTATCTTTTATTTATTTTTTTAATAATTCATTCTGTTTTTAGCTTTCTACCTCAAAACGCCTAAATGTGAGATTATTTCAGCACTTTATGCAGCACTGTCTTTGCAGCAGACCTTAAGCCCGGCGGGTCGGGTACAGGGCCCAACTGTCACCTGCTCATGTTTATCTATTTATAGAAAAGTCCAAACCACAGTCACACGGTGTTACATCCACACGCCTTTCAAATGGGGCTTTAAAATTTCTAAAACATGTTTCGAAATAATTTTTTTCACAAGTTTTTGTTTTATAGCTGTGTAAACAAATAAAATGAGATTCAAAATTCCACCTGACGTGTGTGACTCTGCGGGAGAAATGCATCAGCAGGCTGGCATCATCGGAAACTAGAGGCTCAGATTTATCCAAGTAGGGGTCGAAGGTCATTGTCCGATCATTTCAGGTGATGTGTTAAATAAGCTTGTTCCGTTATTCTTATTTTATATCCAGTTTGGTTTTATTATTGGTAAATTTCAATGAAACAGCAGCTAAATATTAGGAGCAAAGGCTTTGTCTTATGCAGAAGGTCTCCAATAATCGTAATCAGCATATTTGTCTGACCAGATTCCCTTTTATGAGTGGAAAATATGCATTTTTGCCACTGTGCCAAAATCCAATTTCCTCCTAGCACACTGCCCAATGAAACTTTTTGGAACAAACATGCTTCAGCTTATTTAGTCCAAATTAGCTTGAGTTATAGTCAAGATGTGGATCTATAAAGTCTGAGGGTTCATCCAGAGTTTCATCCACAGTTTCCAATGAGCTTTCATGGTGTTCTGCAGGGTTTATTTTTTTTATGTCATCTTTTCTTTGTTTATAACCTATAAATCAGACATGGTGACATTTAAAATAGTGGTTTCACCTAAAAATATTCCTCAACGCCTTTCTGTCATAAAAAAACAAACAGTTGTATTTCCAATTCATAGTTTGGGAGCTGTACTTGCTTTAATTCACATGTGTAATTTCAGGCAGAATTTGCTGCTAACAACGTCTGGGATCAAGGGGTTATAAAGATGTTTATGAACTTTTCTAATATGCATCAAGTATACATATCAGACAGCTGGATAAATAAATCAGTAAATAGATATATTTCTTGTCAAGCAATGGATTTCCAGTGTGGAACTTCACATGTTCAACATTTCTAAAAGGAATTTTTTTTTCCCCTTCAGGCCCTCTTTGTGTTCCTACCAGGAGCAGCAGCCCATCATTAAGGGCCTACATAAATTAGGACAGTGGAAAAAATGGGATTAAATTGACTTGAATATCGATGAGGAATAGAGGCCTATCCTCCTGTGTGATATAATGAATCCCAAGCCAAGCCATTTGACGGTTGCAGTATTTGAAGTAGCGCAGGAGGGGGCTGCTTGAAAATCTCCTACTGTGGCAGCTTTCTAAACCATCTCAGCCTGGAACACAAACTGAATAAATTTTGCTCCTCACATGGACTCAAGCTTATTAGGTTGCTCTCTTGCTATGGTGGCACCGACCAAAAATCGGGGAGCATGACCCACTTTTTAGGAGTTACCAGTCATAACATCAAGAAACATTTGACTTTGGCCTGAAGTCCTACTTACAAATCTGTAAGTACAATGTATGCCTCTGTTGGCTGCGACTTTACTTAACTTTTTATTTCTCTGTTTAGATTGAGTGCAGCTGCTGAGACGTTTGCTCATGAGCAGTGCCTAACAGGGGAGGGGATACTTATACTGCATGCTTATCAGGTTTCAAATCGTCCATTTCTGTACCTAGAGATCAGCCTTTTTGCTGTTTTGTGAAAGCCTCTGGCATCTGCTGGATTCTCATAGGATGTCCTCAGGCAATTAAGCTCTGCTTAAATGTTACAGGGATATTAAAAGCTGACAGAGAGTTAAAAATGTTCCTGTTTTATCTGGTGAAACCAACACCTAGGAGCCTGATTGGAGGAAACCAAACTGAGGCTGATTGTGGTATTCCCTTCTGTTTAGTGGCCTAAATAAATTATGTTTCCTTAAAGCATTATATATGAGCTATAAATGTCACTGATGTGGCGTTCTGATGGTCATACCACAACATTTTGCAAAAATAACAGCAACAAAAAAAAAGTCTTGCTTCACTTGGGATCAAACTGCATTATGCAAAAGCTAGAAATTACATTTCCTTTAAACTTTAAAAGCCATTTCTTGTGCTGTAAAATATTTGTTTTAGATGTGGTAAAGTTCTTCAGATCTAATTTTTTTTATGTCTATTGTGTTTGTATCAAAAAAACTAATTGCAATATCTAATGTCGACGTTGACTCCCTTTACTCAGACTGGTAGAGGACGTTTTATTGTTGGACTGATTGATATTTTTGACCATAAAACCCAGTAAAATAATTATTCTACCCAACCTTTTCTTTCTAAAATCCCAGGGTCCTAATTTAACCAGTATCACAGAACAAAGAGTTTGATTTGTTTTTTTCTGATATTCCAAAAGAGTTCAGAGACTGAAAATCAAAAGAAGAAGAAAAGCAAACATTTACATATTTAACATTAAGTCAGTGAAACCAGAGTCCTGTTTCTGTGTTCAGACGGTTCTGGACTGCAGAGAACCTGGCAGTAAGATGGCTGGTTGGAAACGGTTGCAGGCTTTGCATACAGGCCTGTTTGATGTCAGTGTGCTGCTGTACTCCTCACTCCTTTGTGTAAAAGCGTCTAAACATAGTTTAGATTTTTCTGACTGAAGAAATGGTGAGAATCTGTCCTTGGATTCAGTTTGACAAATGAAGGTAGAGAAGGAAAAATGGACATTGACTGAGCAGACGTTTATTGTGACCGCCGCGTCCTTAGGGTCCTTCAGAAAAGGCCACGTCTTCAACACACTGATGTGATTTTCATCGCTTTTTCACCAGCAATAGTGTTTGAGACACTACTGGGAGCAATCTCTTGATTAAAAGAACAGTGTGTGAGACAGAGAGGGGGAAATGAAAGAAAGAAGATGGCGTCTCAGCGTGGGATCACACGGCCCACATACCCGGGGAGGAGGAAAAGCTCCTCTGACCTTCTTTGTGTCAATGCCAACCATCCAAAGGATTCTGGTTCTGCTTTTATTGAGCCAAATCTTTAGATCGGTCTTCATTCAAAGGTTCTAGACGATTAAATGTTCTCCTTCTTCAACAGCAGCTCTGCAACACCAACACTTTGAGCGTTCAATATTCTTATGGGTAAAACCCTCTAGAAATAAAACATAATATATTGGATCTGAAGGTGGAGGCTTTTGGCTCATCACTCATCATCAACAAGTTAATATGTAATGTCATGATGTAATTAGTGGTGCGCCGATGCCATTTTTTGGCCCTGATACCGATACCCGATTCCTGGCTGTGCAGTATTGGCTGATACCCATACCCTACCATACCATCTGTTTGAAATTGATGCGTGCATAGTCTTTATATGAAGAACTGCAGACTGCCTGGATGTAAAATAATTGCCATCATGGCTTTGTTAAGCTGCTGCCTACCTTTGTGAAGCAGGAAAAAAACTAATACAAAGTGAATCCAGTAGAACTTTTTATTGCCTACCTGGAATGGGTGACAATAGTTGAATAAACTTTTGGTTCTCAAAATGGTATCGGCGCCCTATTTTTTTGGTACTCGCCGATACCGATCCCACCATTTTAGTGCTGGATCGGGGCCCGGCCCGATACTGGTGTTGGTATCGGTGCAACACTAGATGTAATAAAACCTCAGCAATCTATAACATACAGCTCTATCTTTGTTTGTTTGTGTGTTTATTATGTTTACACCGGTTTCCATGGTAACAATCACTGCGGCTCATGTCGATTCTGGCCCGTTTTTCATCCAGCAGTCAGCCTTGGTGTGTGAACGTTTTGTAAATACAGCCATTATTATTGGAAATAAATTCAGAGCTGTAAATACAGTCAGTCTGAGCAGCTTCAGTTGGTCCCAATGAGGCGCAGAGCTGTTCTGGATAAGGGGGACCTCTGATTGATGTGCTCCCTCAGAACGGACCCTCGGGAGGACACTGCGGTCATCTGGTGGCCCTTTAATACAGGTAATGTTGGCGTTCTGAAGTTCCCTCAGATCTCCCTGAGATCTGAATCAATAAGCATTTTTATTCCAGCAATTAGTCCCGAATAAACGTAGACATATACTAATGTAGTGTTAAACTATGATGACCTGGACACATGAGAAGAAAAGGGGTTTAGGAAGCTGTAAAGCTCTGACATTGGCTCTGCAGGTTGCCTCTTCCATCACAGACTGCAGGAAATACCGTCCATAAACAAGGAATCATCTTTTAATTGCTGTGCTGGTTTTTCTGTTTATTTTCTGTAACACACAGTTCATAGTGCTTCCCAAAGTGATGCTTGAGCTGAGAACAAAGAAGAGATGTGTAATCATGCTGCTCGTGAAGCTGTTTTTTGCTATGGTAACTGGTTTGCAAATGGAACAACATTTAGTCAGACAATAGCTGGTGGATAAGAACGAAGAAAAAGGGAAGCGAAAGAGACAAAAGGAAACGGGTCAACAGAGCGCTCTCCTCTGCTCCGGCTTAAAAGAGATGCAGACCCAGTGGGGACCTGGATCGAAGAGGGCTTGGAGAGAGAGCCGTGTATTTAATTATGCATGTGTCTCAGAGAAGAGGTATATTTGTAGGTATTTGTTAATACAAGAGGTAAAGCAGCTTTGGTTGGGTGTGATTTTTCTGTCAGGGTGAGGTGTCTTCTCCCTCAGTGTGCAGTTTCAACATCACACCCCTCTTTCAATCTATAATCCCTCTCTCCCCAGGCATTTCACTCGCTTGCAACTCACCGCCACGCTGAGATAAAGTTATCCCACTGCAGTCGCTATCATTCCTGCCCATCCGTGTGTATATAAGGTACAGCTATTCCAGCATGTCCACCTTCCGCTGCTGCTCCGAGTACAGAAAAACACGCCAGCTCAGGGATTGAAAGCAACAACAAACAGCCGGATTTGGATGAAAACTAAATGCTGTTAATTGATCTCCTCTGAAAACCGAAGCTCTTCAGTTTTACAGAAACGCCCAGCCGTGCAGATATGCTGTTTAACATAGTGGCTCCTCTTACAATCACAGCAGTTTGCTTTAGAGAAGGGTTTCGACTTCACTAGAAAAAAATCTAAATCTAGATAAACTTATTCTTCAAATAAGTGCATTTGTTCTTGAATTGAGAAGGT